CACAAGTGTTAAGATTTTGAGATCCCAGAACCTGTGATTTTCTGTAAAAACCATGGTTTTCTTTTTCTCAGCAGGTCATTTCCTTGGCTGGGTTTGAACTGCAAAGTCTCTCCTGGGAGGCAGCTCGGCTCATGCACGTTGACTTTAGCTGAGCTATGCCGAGTCTGTTCTGCACCTGTGTGCTTCCAGGCTCAATAAGAGATGGCGGTAGACCTGGGGGCCCCTCCCCTGGCTTTTCCCTGTGATGGTTCCCCTATCCCTGCAGTGTTTGTAATTCGGTTTTCTAGGTAAGACGGTGCGGCCATTTCACCTGTGTGCTGGCGGCACTGAGCACAGGCTAAGCCTCGGTGACAGAGACGTGCTCGTATGATCTCACGTCCCTACTCCTGATGCAAGTGTCCACCCCTTGAGACTCTATTAAATTCTGTCCGCTTCCCAGCACATTCAGGAATAACCTTCTTTGTATCGTTTTCTGGATTACAGTTGTTCTCTGGAGGGGAACACTGTCTGCTAGGTTCTTAGTCTATCATGCTGAGGAACAGAAGCCCACCTTCATTTTCAACAGATGTTTTCATTGGGTGTAAAATTCTCAGTGGAGACTTTTCTTTCAGTATTTAAAGGTATCGCTCCATTTTCTCCCGGCTTACCACATTTCTGATGCAAAATGTATTACCACTCTTGTCTTTGTACTTTGTATGTAATTATGTAATATGTACCTGTATTTCTCTTACATAAACTGCTTTAAAGATTTGTTCTTCTCAGCAATTTGCGACTTGGCGTGATTTCATGTTTCTTCTGCTGGAGACCTGATGAGCTTCCAGAATCTGTGAATTTATAGTTTTCATCAAATTTCAAAATTTTTTCAGCTACTATGTCTCCAAATAATTTTTCTTCCACCTTTGCTCTCTGTTCTCTGTGTACAGGATTCAAATTACACTAATTTAGACCACTTGACATTCTCTCACAGGTTCTTTCTCCTCTCTCTATGCTTCATTTTGTGCAATTTCTATGGCTACATCTTCAAGCTCACCAATGTGTGTGTGTGTGTGTGTGTGTGTGTGTGCGCGCGCGCACTGTTTTAATGCCCTTATCTGCTAATTCCATAATCTCTGTCATTTCTGGGAACGTTTCTATCAACAGAGTCCCCCCCGCCCCGTTATGGGTTTTATCTGCGTGCTTATTTGTGTAACTGGTATTTTCGTTGGATAACAGGCATCGTGAATTTTAACGTCATCGGTGCTCTCCTGCTTTAAGGAGTGTTAAATTTTGGTCTGGAACACAGTGATATACTTGAAATCGGAGTGATTATTTTTGAGGATACTTTTAAGCTTTTTTTGCATAAAGTCCCGAGCAGTCTTTCATCCAGAGCTAACTTACCTTAACTTCTAAGGCAACACCTTCTGGGGACTCTACCCAATGACCCACACTAGCAGGTCTCTCTAATCTGGTTGGCGGGAATATGAAATTTCCTGTATCTGTGTGAGTTCCGGGCACTGCTGGCCCTAATGCTTTGCACCAATTCTTCCCCAGCCTGTGGCAATGCACCCCGCCCCCACAGTCGCATGTGAACCCCGAGGCAAAGACCCCAGAGGACCTCTGCAGGTTCAGGCGCTCTGAGCTGCTGGTCCGCAAACCCTGGTGGCCTCTGCTTCGCAGACCTTCACGTTCTGCCTCCTCACCTCAGCAAGGCTGCTGAGCTCTGCCCAGCGTACCCTCTTCTGTGCCACCGCCCGGAAATGCCGAAGCAGTAAGCTGTGGAATGATACGGCTAAGTGTTCTTTTCCCTTCCCTCGGGTATTATTTTGGCCCTGTGCTGTTTATTGTTTAAAGCTCAGCATCATTGTTTTGCCTATCTTTTATCATTTTCTCTTCGTTCAGGGCGGGAAGAAGAGGTCCTTGGTAGGCTTCTTTCCCACAATGGGACAAATTAGCAATTCTGCAAATGCTTTCTGTATTCGTAGGATTGAACAAGTTGGGAAATGCCATGATGATGCGTGGTGCTAAGTTTCTCTCTGTTGGCAAAGGAAGGCACAAATATGAAATACAGGAGGCTGAGAAGAATCCCATTGTGCCTGAATGGAGCTGGAGGTCTCCTGGTTTTAGAGACGAAGAGGTAGATACAAGAAGAAACAGACGGAAGATTGACAAGAGACAAGTGTATGTTCCTTTGCTTTGTTGGTTGAAAGACTCAGATCAGTGACACCCCATTAGCCCATGGAGCATATAGATCTCGGTTTCTTTAAAAAATTTTTTTTAATGTTTATTTATTTTTGAGAAAGAGAGAGAGACAGAGCAGGAGTGGGGGAGGGACAGAGAGAGACAGAGACACAGAATCAGAAGCGGGCTCCAGGCTCTGAGCTGTCAGCACAGAGCCCGACACGGGGCTCAAACTCACAAACCGTGAGATCATGACCTGAGCCAAAGCCGGTCGCTCAACCGGCTAGATCTTGGTTTCTAAATACAGTTTCCCACTAACAGGATAAGTAAGTTCAATAAGTAACTGATTCCTAGGCTGGGCCACGGAAAATATAAGCTAAGCCTGCAACATATTTTTGTGCAAACAAATACACAAATAAATAAATAAATAATGGTCAAAAAGTACTGGGAACCTGTCAGCACATGGAGGAAAGCAGCTTAATGGGCTCCTGGTGAGTAAGTGTGAGACCTCAAAATCAATAATAATATTAAAGTATTGCAAGCCATTTAATTTTGTAAGTATGTATTAAAACGCATTGTTATCCTGTCAGTACTATGGCAATAAATATTCTGTTAATCTCATTATGTAAGTATGACTCTTAATAAAGTAAGGAGAGAGAGAAGAGAGATTAATAACGTATACAGGACAAAGTAAAAATTAGTGAATCTGGGAGTTCCTTTAAAAATTAGTGAGATGGGAGTGCTTTGTACTACTCTTGCAACTATCTTCTAAATTTGAAATTACTTCAAAATTGCAAGTTAAAACCATTTAGATCATTACGATGAAGTCCTAGGAGGTAAACCGACTGAAGGGTCTCAACCTGGAGGCATTTGGTACAGGCATTTTGGTACAGGCATTTGGTACAGGCATTTGGTACAGGCATTTGGTACAGGCATTTGGTACAGGCATTTGGTACAGGGTTGCAGTGGGGCTGGAACCCCAGGTCTTTCATCCCTCAAAGGTCTCCTCTCTCCCGCAAGGGCAGCCCCTGGTCCTCGGGGCACCAGGGACACTGGGGCCTGGGCAGGATGCCGTCACTTCTCAGAAGGGGGTCGACCGGCAGCTCCCAGGCCCAGGGCCCACGGCCCACGGCGCAAGACGGAAGCGTGAAAGTCACAGGGACAGGCGCTCCCTGCGATGTCAGAAATGTCATGGGGAGGCGTGGGGTATGTCTCTGTGGCAAATCGATTCGGGGTTTTCCAGATGCTGTGTAACCAGTTCTTTATAAGGACATCTTGCCATTTCAGGTCTAGCTGTGCCTCCTGAAGCCTTCTTCCACCTCGCAGGCTCAGGAGTGTTTATGAGGTTCTGTAATCAAACCTATGTTTTATGCACAACACCTCGGCTATACTTTCCGTCATCCCAAAGCTTATTTAAATATAGGACTATCTGTATCAATTGCCAAAGGACTTCTTTTAAATACAGATCTTTGATATTTCCAAACTCCAGCTGAACTCAGTGTCGGGGAAGGAAACCACAGCCCGCAGAAATGACAATATCTGCTTTGATTGTGAGCCCTCCGTGAAAACCCGGCGAGCGTCTCATTTATAAAAGAATCAGGTGAGTTGGCATCTGAGTGTTCACACCTGCAAGAAGGAATCAGAGCACGTCGGGTTCCATCCACCTGTGGCTTGGAGCACAGGAGCAGGTACACCCTGGTTTGGAGCACAGGACAGGCCCCGTAAGGCAGGGAATCTGGCAGCCTTCAAAGTGCCCGCCGAGGCTTGGGAGACACAGACACAAAGATATTCCACTGCATTCTGGAGACAACCTGATCCTTCTAGAAAGTCCATGGCTGTGAACTGGGTGAGGACGGGACCAAATGGAGTCTGGCAATGTGACGACGCCTCGTGAGTACTAGGAAAAGTTATAGGAAGCAGCCGGTGTGGACGAAAGCTGAGAGCAGGTGGGGTCCCACGGCGGGGGGGGCCTGCTGCACTGTAGCACTGTACTTACTGTGCTCCTCTCTGGGCCTCACCTGTCATAGCATCCTCCATCATAGAACAACCAGAGGCACCTGCTCATTTCCAGCACCCCCAGGGCAGGGCGACTGCACTAATGGAGAACTACGGCTTCTGAGTGATTTCAGACCTGCAGTGACATTTCTGACCCACCCATGACAGCAGAATTTCCCTCCACCTGGACGCTGGCTGCACACCTGGCCATCCCAGGGGATGTTCCAGTCCCTGCCCACATGTCTGTCAGGGGAAGAGGGAGGTTTTCTGAAGGATCTGTGCTGAGTCTTCTCTTGGCTTTGAGTGAAGAGGGTTGAGCAGATTTTCCTAGAGGCATCGGACTGCAGAGGGGCGGAAATACAGACGGGACACTGGTGAACTTTAGGGCCACAGTCCTTCACCGTGACCCAGCGCTCATCCACTTCTGGATGAAGAACGTCCAGGGGTGCCCGGGGGGCTCAGTCGGTTAAGCGTCTGCCTTCAGTTCAGGTCATGATCTCACCCTTTATGAGTTCAAGCCCCACCTCAGGATCTCTGCTGTCAGTGCAGAGCCTGCTTGGGATCCTCCGCCCTCCTCTCTCTGCCCCTCCCCTGCCTGCATGTTCTCTTTCTCTCTCAAAAATAAATTTTTTTAAAAAGTTTAAAAATTAAAAAAAAAAAAAAAGAAGAAGAAGAAGAAGAGGGACGTCTGGGTGGCTCTGTCAGTTAAGTGTCCGACTTCGGCTCCGGTCATGATCTCACGGCTTGTGAGTTCGAGCTCCACGTCAGGCTCTGTGCTGACAGCTCGGAGACCAGAGCATCTTCAGATTCTATGTCTTTCTCTCTCTCTCTCTGCCCCTCCCCTGCTCACACTCTGTCTCTGTCTCTCAAAAATAAATAAACATTAAACAAAAATTAAAAAATAAAAAAAATAACCAAACCCATGACCACAGCCCCAGTGGCTCCGTGAGCCAACAACACTGAGCCCTGGATATAGGAAGTGCGTCTACAGCGGGGGACCTTGGGCTTCAGGGGAACAGAGCAGCGAGGACAAGGTGTCCAAGGGCAGGGATCCCAGACCGAGCATGGCAGGTGGTCACACAGTCCCGGATGAGGAAAATTAGGAACTCCAGAACAATATTTCAGAAGGAGGTAAGAAGACTTAGTCTCACAAAACAGTTCCCCAGAAAAACCCAGGCCCCCCCAAATCGCCACAGAGAGTCCAGGCCCAGCAGGTCGACATTAGCCGCGTGACGAAGGACGTCTTGGGCCACCTCAGAGGGACACGTCTGGATCCAGGAGGCTCGCCAGTGTGCATCTCACCATGGGAACGTCTCGGAGGGGACATCTCTGCACACAGCTCCAGAGGCTGCTCAGGGACTTACAGGAAGCCAGGGCCATGTGAGAGCTCTGGAACATTCCACACACAAAAGAGAAGGTGCCATGTCCGGCCAGGGAGCAGAGCCGCTTTGTCAGGGGAGTGGGAATCACGGCACAGACCAGCACCGCTGATGTGCCGGGAGACAAGGGGCAGAGAGAGGAAGGAACAGGCAGGAAATAAACATAAGATGAACCACGCAGTCACCCGTAGGTTACTACACCCGCCCCCCCCCCCCCCCAGGAGAGGCCGGTGCAGCGGCTGCACGGGGGGAATTTCCCGAGGAGCCACCACACGTCATCGCGGCCAACACGACCACTGGTTTGTCACTAACCCACAGGGCCCCCTGCCACAGCCAGCAGCAAGGACATGGTCTTGCTTTAGGAAAAAAGGAGCCTCGCGGACACTGTCCAGAGCCTAGACCGGAGCTGGCAGGCTCTGCCAAGTCCCCAGTGACCACCAAATTGTCCTCGTCACAAACACCATGGAAAAGAGCGTGTGTTCTGGGCACGGCCAGCGCAGGCTCGGATCCTGAGTGAGAATCAGGACACTCACAGCAAACACTGGGGTGTCTCCATCCACCCTTACTGTCCCAAACCACGGTGAGTGTGAGTGTGCAGTTGTGTGCCCGCACACCTTTAGCTACAAATGTACATACACACATACGCCTGTGTGTATATGTGATATGGGCCGTATAAATGTGCATATATTATAGATGCATATAAATGTGTGTATATTATGTATGCACAAACATATAAATATAGAGATTATATATAAGATTACATATAAGTTTGTATGTAAGTTTATATGTGTGTATAGTGTCCATACATAGATGTAAATATGTATATAATACATAAACATACATAGATATAAAACTATATAGGTATGTGTATATATATGATGCCTTTATGCACATTTTATTTTCTTAAGTTTATCTATCTATTTTGAGAGAGAGAGCGTGTGCACATGCACATGATTGGGGGAGGAGCAGAGAGAGAGAGAGAGAGAGAGAGAGAGGGAGGGAGGGAAAGAGAGAATCCCAAGCAGGCTCCACGCTGTCAGCATGAAGCCCGCCATGGGGCTCGATCTCATAAACTGTGAGATCATGACCCGAGCAGAAATCAAGAGTCCGATGTTTAACCCACTGAGTCACCCAGGCGCTCCTTTATGCACATTTTAAATTAATGGTAATGGCTCGTCTTCCAAATCATCATGAGCTAGAGACGAAATCTCTTTGCTAATGTGGCACAACTGCCCAGCAGCCCTTCAGGTCCCCAGTCTGAAGGAAGGGGGCAGAGGTGGCCATCTAGAAGTAGTTTGGGGTGCATTGCTCACGGCGTTTCTCCCCTGGACTGATGGTGCCCACAAGCAGACGAAGGGCAGAGAACACCGCCACCCTCTCCCTCCCGGCAGAAGGATGGGCCACAGCACGAGTTCACACAAACAGGCCAATTGAAGCGATTTGCTCCATTGCTCAAATGTTTCACTGAAATTCTTTTGTGGCAATTCAATTGATTCAGGAAAAATCCACACTTGGCTTTGTTTGTCCCTGGAGAATAAATGACCTTGTCCCGCTCCCGACCCCACCAACAGCCAGAAGAGAAATATGACGGGAGCGGTTGGCAGCCAGGAGGTGGTGACCGCGACTCCGCAGCAAACCCCACTGCGTGGGTCTCAACCTCCTGCTGCAATAACTCTGTTTCATAAATATTTAATATTTCAGCTATGTTTTCTTAAACCAAAAGTTGACCCTTTTTCAAAGTAATCATATAAGTGATCAGTATTTGCACTGCCTGAGGAAATAGGAAATTTGCATCTGGCATGTCTGAGCCAAAATTAAACATTTATACATGTTGTTCACATTGCTTGTCGTTAGACCTAACTTGCCACTGCTCTCTGCGTTCGGTTCCCTGCTAGAAAAATGTTTCCTCTTTGAAACAAAATCACCCATGAAAATTATACTTGTTCTGGGAATGGTAGTGTGCCCCTCTAAGATTTTCTAAATGGCCTTTTCGAGGAGGAAAAAGTTTGCCGGGAAAATGCACTTGACCTCACTTGGAGAACTCCAGATCCGAGGGCTCCATTCCAATTATCACGCTCCAGTAGGGTTTGTTTGCATGTTTTGTTTTTTGCATAATTCAGTTCTTAAATAACAACTTTGCCTCCAGACTATTATTCCTCCCTTGACTAACATCCAAGGGGGAGGGAGAGGCAGACAGTGGGACAAAGAGATGGTGAAGAATAGAGGATGGCCGATAGAAATAAGGATAAAGAGAATTCAAAGGGTTTCCAAAGCCATAGGCTTGGATTTGAATGGTCTTTCAAAGGCTGGAAAAGGAACTCCTTGGGTCTTTTTCAGCCTAAGACTTAAGTAAAATCTCTAACAAAGGAATGTGACCCACGTCTAGGAACTTAGAACGGTCGCTTTCTTGGACCTTCCTGTCCACACTCAGAGTTTCTGTTTCCAGGACATTGGGTTTGATTTCACCCATTCTGTGTGGCCACTAGCCTCCTCCCAGTGAGGTCCTGAATGGCAGGTCTCCATGCGAGGTCCTTGGCAAATGTTCTGATTGGCCGTTCATTTTGCCTGTGTTGTATTTTCAACCATCATTTTTTAAAAAAATTACTTAGATGTGCAACAAGTATCAGTGTGAACATAATGAATTATGATAAAGCGAACAATGTGTAAGCACTGAGTCGTTAAACAGAACATTCTCAAGATCCCAGAAACCTCTTGAACACCCTATCAGGCTCGGCCCCTCCTTCCTTCCCCTGTATCAATAGTCTCTACCTGATTTGCTTGGTAACCAGTTCCTAGCTTTTCCTATATCAGCACTGCATAGTTATTCACTGGTGAATACTAAGCTTAGGCTCACATTATTTTCTTCTTCATATAAATGAAGCCATCCCCTAAGGAAGCTTCCATGTCCAGCTTCTTGCACACAACACACCACACTGGTGAGACTCGGTCACACTGATGGGTAGAGCTGTGCTGTCTTCCAATTTTTGGTGATTGCAAATGACCGAAGGGCTGAGCAGTCTTACATATATTTGCAAGCGCATTAGGGCATGAGCTGCCTTTGGGTATTTACCTAAGGGTGCAACCGCTAGAGCCTGTGGGCGTTCATCTCACAGACGCTGAACGGTTTTCCGCGGCATTGTTCCCATTGACGTTCATATCCGCGAGTGTATTAGCACCCCCACTGCGTCATCTCCTTGTCAACACTAAGTATTTCTAGTTTTACGTTTTAGCCATTGGCTATCAGTATCCCATTGTGGTTTTAATTAGTATGAGCATAACAGCAAACATTTTTTGTAAACAGCATTCTTGCCTTATTTTATAGCAAGAGCCAACTCTGCAGGACAGCTTTGTTGTCAATCAAGTGAGGACAAAGCTTATCTTTATTTCTGGTTCCTATTCTGTAGCATTTGTTGTATGCCCATCCTTGTGTAAATATAACCTGGACCTGATTACCGTGGTCTTGATATCTGGGAAAGCAGGGTTTCTACCTCGTCCCTCATTGTCAACTAATCTTCGACAAAGCAGGAGAGAACATCCAATGGAAAAAAGACAGTCTCTTCAGCAAATGGGGTTGGGAAAACTGGACAGCAACATGCAGAAGAATGAAATTGGACCACTTTACCCCATACACAAAAATAAACTCAAAACGGATGAAAGACCTAAGTGTAAGGCAAGAAACCATTAAAATGCTAGAAAAGAAACTAGAAACAACCTCTTTGACCTCAGCTGCAGCAACTTCTTACTTGACACATCTCCGAAGGCAGGGAAACAAAAGCACAAATGAACTATTGGGACCTCATCAAGATAAAAAGCTTTTGCACAGCAAAGGCAATGATCCACAAAACTAAAAGACAACCAATGAAATGGGAGAAAATATTTGCAAATGACATATCAGATAAAGGGTTAGTGTCCAAAATCTATAAAGAACTTATCAAATTCAATACCCAGAAAACAAATAATCCAGGGAAGAAATGGGAAGAAGACATGAATAGACACTTTGCCAAAGAAGACATCCAGATGGCCAACAGACACATGAAAAGATGCTCAACGTCATTCATCATCAGGGAAATACAAATCAAAACCACAATGAGATACTACCTCATACCTGTCAGAATGACTATAATGAACTCAGAAACAACATGTTGGTGAGGATGCAGAGAAAGAGGAACACTTTTGCACTGCTGGTGGGAATGCAAAGTGGTGCAGCCACTCTGGAGAACAGTATGGAGGTTCCTCAAAAAAATTAAAACAGAGCCTATCCTATGACCCAGCAACTACACAACTAGGTATTTATCCAAAGAATACAGGAGTACTGATTTAAAGGGGCACGTGCACCCCAATGTTTATAGCAGTGCTTTCAACAATAGCCAAAGTATGGAAAGAGCCCAAATGTCCATCAACTGATGAATGGACAAAGAAGATGTGGTTTATATATACAATGGAGTATTACTCGGAGATCAAAAAGAATGGATAGAACTAGACTGTATTACGCTAAGTAAATAAGTCAGTAGGAAAGACAAATATATGGTTTCATGACTAAGTGGAATTTAAGAAACAAAACATGAACACAGGGGAACGGAAGGAAAAGTAAGATGAAAACAGAGAGGGAGGCAAACCATAAGAGACTCTTTTATTTTTTTAGTGTTTTATTATTTTTGAGAGAGAGAGAGAGAGAGAGAGAGAGAGAGAGAACACGTGACCAGAGGAGGAGCAGAGAGAGAGGGAGACACAGAATCTGAAGCAGGATCCAGGCTCTGAGCCGTCAGCCCAGAGTCTGACACGGGGCTCGAACTTGTGAACCACGAGATCATGACCTGAGCCAAAGTTGGATGCTTAACTGACTGAGCCACCCAGGCACTCCAAGAGACTCTCAAACACAGAGAACAAACAAAGGGTTGCTGGAGCGGAGGTAGGTAGGGGGATGGGCTAAATGGGTGATGGGCCTTAAGGAGGACACTTGTTGGGATGAGCATTGGATGTTGTATGTAAGTGATGAATCACAAAATTCTACTCCAAAACCATTATTACACTCTATGTTAACTAACTTGATTTAAATAAAAGTTAAAAAACAAACAAACAAACAAACAAATAAAAATGAAAGCTTTGCCTGGTCTCAGCTTCCTTGAGATACTGACAGAGCAGAGGAAGGTGGGGAATGAGCTCACCCTCCTGCTGGGACCTGACAAAGACAATTTGTCCTATGTTAACCGGCGGTTAAGATGGTCCACACGCATGATTGCCTTCCCCTTCCCCTGTAGGGACCATATTCACTAGATTCTTCCACATACTTACTGCTTCTTTGTTCTTCATTCTTGCTTGTCTCTCTTACGTGGGGATCATTTTCTCCTGCAGCCAATGAACACCTTTAGTATTGCTTTCAGTGTGCGCATGCCTTCGGTCGAGTGTGTTTGCCTGGAATCTACTGACCTTCATCCTTGGAAAACAGTATTGCTAGCTTAGCAATTCTTTTCACACCGCTGTTTTCTGTTCCTTTGTCTGTCTGTCTGTCTGTCTGTCTGTCTGTCTGTTCACTGAGCAGCTTTATTACTTCTTCATCTACGTTTCTGGCCACAGTGCCCTGGGTAGGACCCGACCAGCCAGTGGAGAATAGAGATGCTTACAGCAGACATCCTTCCTTCATTCCTGCTCTTAGGATACAGCACTGAATTTCTCAGCATTAAATGTGATATTGGCTATAGAGTTTTTCAAATATGTCCTTTATCACCTTGAGGAAGTTTCTCTCTGAGTTTGCAGAGAACTTTTATCATTGACAGGTGTTGACTTTTGTCAAATGCTATTTTTTCATCTACTGAAATGACTACATTACTGTTTCTCCTTTTTGTCTGTTAATATGGTGAATAATGTTAATTTACATATACAATTTTCATTGCTCTTTGGGATACACTGTACTTGACCACGATGTACGTATACATAAGCACACATGTGTAGGCATGACATACATAGGAACGTAGTCTGTATTGTGTGTATGTGAACATGTGGTACGTAGAGTGCGCGTGTGTGTGTGATGCTGGATTGGCTTTGCTAATCTTTTGTGATGAACATCTGTGTCTAAATTTGCAAGGATATTGCTCTACAGTTTTATTTTCATACCCTTGCATGCTTTTGATTTCAGGGCTCTCCCAGGCTGCTAAAATGACTGGAGAATTGTTCTCCTATTTCAGAAAATGTACATGGTTGTCACTTGTTTTCTTGCTTATTTACTAGAATTTGCTGGTGGAGTTTGCACCTGTGCACCCGGATGGTGATCTTGTGACAACGTAACTTGCCTTCAGGTCACAAGAACACTATGTCCACGTTCAGTGGAGCGTCAGCGCTCTAACCATCACTTACTAACCATGCTAGGGACCACCGTCACTTCCACAAGCACTGGGAACACAGGGGCCATTCTGTGCAGAGCTGTGCAAGACAGCTGAGCACAGGTCATGCGTGAACAGAGGTGATATCTGAGCCTAACAGGGGAGGATGAGAACCAGTCACTGGGGTGATGGAGCAGGAGGGAAGCTGGGGGTGGGTCCGGGGACCAAGCCTCGGCGGATCGACAGGGCCACGTGGCTAAAACGAGGCTGTGATATGTGTCAAGCCTCTTTCTGTTTTGGAAACTTGGGGCCCCGATGTATGTATGGAGCTTGGAAACTCCTCCTACATCCTAACTAGGTTCACCTTCTGGATTTTCCCCTGTAGTCTCCAATCCCTACTCGTCTTCCATGGGTTATTCCAGAGGGGAAAATCGTATGCTGAATTCTAGAGGCAAAGTGGTCTGTTTGGGCACCTGCAAAGGGGTCTGTCAGCCAGAGCGTAGCATTGAGGGGGAGGCCGTGGGAAAGACTGAGAAGCTGAACACGTCGGCGGCGGGCAGACCAGGCTTCCACCTCCAGGAAGCAGAACACGACCATGAAGGCCATGGGAAGTCATCAGAGGGAGGCTGCGGCTTCTGGTGCAGGCAGCTGGGCAGAGGGAGACCCGAGGCTCCACGGATGCAGAAGAAAGAGGTTGTCCAGGGCATCAGGAGAGAGCAAGCCTAGGCTGGCACACGGTGTGCTCAACAAGCCTGCGGGACACCCAAGTGGGAGGCCCCTGGGCGGGTGGACAGGGGCCTGGGGCAGGAGAAAACCTACAGACAGACACAGAAATGAGATCTGTGCATCACCTGTGCTGTGGACCGAACGCTGTCTCTCCCCTGCACCCCACCCACAGTAGGGCTTACTGGAGACAAGGTGCACGCGGATGTAAGGGAAGTTGAATGGGTCATGAGGGTAGAGCCCTGGCATGACAGGATCAGTGTCCTTGCAGGACAAGATGGCAGAGGGCTGGCCCTGAGTCCTGCTTCCCCGAAGACAGGCCATGTGAGCACACGGCCAGAAGGCCGCTGCCTGGGACCCAAGAGGCTCAGCACGAAACCCACCCGCCAACACCGTGAGGCTGGACTCCTGGCCTCCAGGCTGTGAGAAGTACATCCGTGTTGTTCAAGCCGTAGGGAAGGCGAAACTCTGCCTCCGTCCCCCTAGGTCACCGGCCAGGCCCCAGGTCACAGGGGAAAGCACGGACATGGGCCTCAGGGAAATGAACACCCAGAAAGCAGACAGGCCCGAGTGCGTATGGACGAAGGAGAGCAGGGACAACAGGAGTGGATTGGAAGGTAAGAGCTATTGTATCAGGGTCTGCGTGTGCCGGCTTCTCTCGGCCCCAATGCCCCGCATCTCTGGTGAGCAGAGTGTTTCCTCCCTCCAGGTGCAGGGAGGGGATATTTCACATGAGAGTTTTCTCTCCTGCTTTTAGGGAGAAAAGTGAGGGTCAGTGTCCTTCTTGCTCTGCTGTTTTTCAAGCATCTCCAGCTCAAAATGAGCATTATGTTGAAGTGGCCTACTTTGGGGGAGGGGGCACATTCTGCCACCTTCCAAAGACCCCCAGCCCAGGGGTCCTGTTACATAGCCTGAACAGACCACGTGTGCACAGAGTTCACCCAGAGCATGGGACTGGCTGCATGGCCACAGCGAGGAGAAGCCGGAGCACCAGAGCCAAGAGCGACTCCAACGCTCAAGGCATCGCGTGAGCAGAGCCCCCAGGGAGCTCAGCAGACCCCAGTGATAAGAGGAGGCCAAGGTCAGCAGCCTCACAAGATGCCCAGGGAGGTCCGGTGTGATCACAGGAACAAAGTGTCCTCAGGCACATGGCTTCTGACCAGCGCCTCTGATGACTCTGCAGAGCCCTCCCAGCCAGAATGTGCCAGAACTTGGGAGTAGGGCCAGGCGGTGACAGGGACACGTGGCTTCAGGGCCCAGGTGTGCACACAGACGACCCAGCTGACGGCCACTTCCCTGAAGGGGTCTCTTGTGGTTATAACCCAGGGTTATAAACAGACTCTGAGAAACTTGACAGAAACCCCTGGGGTCCCCCGATTCATGGAGGGGGGAGCTGATGCCCGCAAGGCAGGCCGTGCAAGGGACTGGGACCCGGACGCCGCAGAGGTCTGGGGATGAAACCACACATGCGGTGAGTCCCTTGGCTCCTCGCGGAGCTCACTGGCGGAGAACACGGACCAAAGTCTGGTTGTAGATACTCCTTGCAGGACTCTGAGGGTTGCGTAGTAGATTCTTGAGGCTGTGATTTTCCAGTCTTCTCTGTGTGTCAGTGGAAGACAGTGCTTGGAAAGAAAGGTGCAGTTATAGAAGAACATGGCTCGAAATAGAAATGCCCCCCACACCAAATCACAGCGTCCACAAAGTCGGTCCAAGAGTGCGCGGCCGAGCATGGGGCGGGGAACGCCCAGCGCCCAGATGCAACGCCCGGTGGGAAACCGGCTCTGTGGCCACCTGGTGATGGAGAACATCTTTCACTTTCCTGAACCTTGAGTCTCCTTGCCTCTGTGATGGAGATTTCGGTCCCTGGCCTTGCTGGGGACGTGTGAGGGCTAAAAGGGGTGAGCTGAGATAGCCGCATGAAGGGCCTCGCAGAGGGGACCGTGCACGCTGGTCCTCGGAGCCCGGCCCCTCTGCTCAGACTTCAGTTCGAAAGACCCAGTGCACACCAGCAGGACCCATGTTGGGGTTCGCACAGGTTTACATGGACAACGTGGCCAAGCTGAGTCCGCAGTGTGATGCCGTGGGAAGGAAGCCCACGGTCTTGTAGGCGCCCAGCTGACAGAAGATTCGAGGGAGCTCAGAGGCGAGGCCCGCCTGCCCCTCCAGCCCACCCTGGCCCACGACCAGCACTGACCAGCCGTGTCACACCCGGCACTGTGGGGTGCTGGTGGCAGGCTGCATTCAGACCCTTAACCACCAGACGCCTTCTGGGAAAAGAGGTCAGGAGAATAGGCAGTCGGGGACAAGACCAGCAAGAAACAGACGGTAGAAGACGCATTTACCTGGACGGTCTCCCGGGACAAGACTTCCTGGAGGCTGGTGAGGAGAGGCGGCAGGCCCCCACATCTTCGGGCCCATTGCAAATCCTGATGCGCAAACCAGCCAGAGCGGGGCCAACCTCGGGGACGGTTACAGACACAGAAATTGCATTTTTCTGAGTATTGGCACATAGTACCTGGGAAAAAAATAACCCACTTTAGTGCGGATCCTTCCTCAGTAGTGAGATGGGAGCTGTGAGAACAGGTACCCTGGGCAGGTCCTATGGGAAAAGTCATTCCGTGATCCAGGGGAGCTGGTGGCTGAGCCAGTCTGGAGAAGCCACAAAGCAGCAGAAAGCAGCAGAACCCCGACCAGGCTCCCCGCCTGCCCACGGCGGCCCCGCCACCCTCAACAACTGACCTTCCGATTTAGCAAAACAAAATGAGAGCCAAGCCAGCCTTTCCCTCATTCCGAAAGATGCGAATCGGAATCCCACAAAATCTGCGCAGGAACCTGACTCCCGTCCAATAGCGCTAAGCATGAACCACAGCCCCATGCAGCTGGGTGAGCAAAGAGAATCTGCACAGCGATTAGCGACTAAAGGAAAAGCAGTAATCTGTGTAGTCAGCAACGTTCTCCCATGTGCAGAACTCACTGCAACATCCATCCAAAAGAGAACGTTTTATTTCCCTATTTTAATTTTTTAAAGGAAGTTTCAGATGACGGCGCACTCTGCCATCAGAAGTACTGCTTTCGGTCAAAAACCAAGATGGCGGAATTTTTAACAGGACAATGGAAGGACAGAACTGAACGGAACAGGAGAAAACCTCCTCCGCAAGTTAGATGACCAGCTGGAGAATTTCTCACTCGACTGCTGAGAAAAGGGGGAAAGAGAGCAATAGAAGTAAAATATAAACTAAAAGAAAATGCTTCTGTGCTCTAAAACCTAAGTACTGAGAGGTGCAGGCTCTGGGGCCACAGTCCCTGGAGTTCACGTACAGCCGTGCTGCTGTCTCCGTGCCCGGTGAGCTCACCACCTGTGGGTCTGTCTTCACTATCAAATTGCCGAGGTGCCTGCGGAGGACGCGTTCCAAGGACAGAAGAAGTAATGGAGTCCTCAGTACATTGTGTGAAGAAATAATAGCTTTTATGAATCTCAGAAAACACCAACAATTACCATGGAAAACTTGTGAAGAGATGTATATCTGCACGTAACATATAAAATTTCTGAAGTGTAAGACTCACCGTAAAGCTACCGTAAATCTTCTAACCAGATACACGGTTTGACTAGAAAGGAGTAAGAGTGGGGTGGCTTCAGACTTCCCTCTTTTTTCGTGGGGGCAGTATGTCTCTTCTCTCTTCTCCTGCCCTCGCTTACTCAAGCCACGTGGTTCCCCCTACACCACCTGCTGTGATGGCCACCTTCTAGGGGCATGTCCTTGCTGCCTGTCCTCAGCCACATGCTTCCTCGTTGATGGAAGAATATGGAGAAAGCCCACCATGGTTTCCACAAATTCTTGGACTGTCATGAGTATAACAGAGAGCAGGCGAGCGTGTGCCCCACTGGAAAGTGTGTATGTATTTGCCATTGACCATCAAAAACAAACATGGTCAATGCCAAGCCTTCTTCGCAGGAGCATACAAAGCCTGAAACACTTTTGTTTTTAAACAACAAAGAAACAGTAAATAAACCAAGCATCTAATCTGAAAATTTAGAGGGGAAAAAACAGTAAAATTCAAAAGAAAAGAAAAATCAATACAGTTAAAAATACAAATGAAGAGGTGCACCTGAGTGGCTTAGTTGGTTAGGCATCTGACTTCGGCTCAGGTCAAGAACTCATGATTTGTGGGTTCGAGCCCTGCATCAGGCTCCATGCTGACAGCTCTGAGCCTGGAGCCTGCTTCAGATTCTGTGTCCCCCTCTCTCTCCGCCCCATCCCTGCTTGTGCTCTGTCTCTCTCTCTCAAAAATAAAGATTAAGGGGCGCCTGGGTGGCGCAGTCAGTTAAGCGTCCAACTTCAGCCAGGTCACGATCTCGTGGTCCATGAGTTCGAGCCCCGCGTCGGGCTCTGGGCTGATGGCTCAGAGCCTGGAGCCTCTTTCCGATTCTGTGTCTCCCTCTCTCTCTGCCCCTCCCCCGTTCATGCTCTGTCTCTCTCTGTCCCAAAAATAAATAAACGTTGAAAAAAAAAAATAAATAAATAAAGACTAAAAAAAAAATAAATAAATAAATAAAATAAAATTGAAAAACTACAGATGAAGAAAGAAATGCCTTTAAAGTAGTGAAACTCATAAATTTTGTCTGTGGGCTTCTCATCATCATGACAAAAACTGATAATAAAGAAAGTTAAACGAATTTAAAAAACATACATGTTCTAATCAAACAGGGAAAAAGGGAATGAAAACAGAGATAATCCCAAACAGGAAGTAAATTTCACAAAGGTGGCTAATACCTACAAAATACCCTATAAAATTTGGAATTAATATTTTGATGCTCATAATGCTAGTACGTTCGAACCTGTATCTTTAAAATCTGCATCATCAGTAGCAGCATGAGGTCAGGAGTCTTGGTCTGTCCCATCCAGAAATTACACGCTGAGCCTCTGGAAAAGTGCCTTGGCACACAGCCAGGGTTCAATCAGTGTCTGTTGAATGAATGAATGCGCAATTTACTAAGTGTAGGGAGAGACAAAAGGAAATCTTGGTGATATTAAACATATCTTAAAAAGCAAATGCTTCCAAACTCGTTTAAGGAAATACTGGAAAATATAAACACACAATAACTGTGAAAGAAACAGCACTAAAGGCAGCTAGACTAAGGTGATTTCCATCATATGGTATCTAATAGTAAAATACAGATTTAAATGGACCTGCTGCATATATCCACACGAAAAGATTTCTATAGGATTTATCATGAAAAGAAAACAGCCAAGTTACACATTCGGAATGATTGAATTTCCCTGAAAATAAAGCAGAGAGGAAGATGACGTATTTTCACAAGGGCTTACATACGCTTTGAAACACACAGGAGAAAATACAGAGGAATCCACACCCAGGTGATGGGAGCAGGAAAAGCACTGCAGGAATTATTACCAGAGGCTTCTGCTTTACCTGTGTTTGTAAAAATTCATATAACAAAAGTATATCCGTATATGGCTTTTAGTTAGAAATTAATTTAAAAGATGAAATATTTAAAGCTGCCCAAGAACTAACTTCATAAAATACACCGGGTCCAGGCATTCGTATGAGTAGGTTATTTCAGAAGAGATCATTCTTATGCTATTGAAATTATTTCAGTGCACAGAAACTTGGAACAACCAAAAACAACATTTCTAGAATGTTGAATTCTAGAAAAAGTGCATTTATTAATTTGCCAGAGTAGGTCCAAGAAAAATAAACTACATAATTATTGTAATAAATGTTCCAAAGGCCATTTGGCCAAATTCCGCATTAATTCCTGACTTTTATGAATTACTTATAAAATAAGGACAGAAGAATATTTCTAAAAATATTTTAAAATAAGATGAAGGGGCATCTGGGTGACTCAGTCAGTTGACCACCCACCCCAACTCTTAGTTTCAGCTCTTGGTTTCGGCTCTTGGTTTTGGCCCAGGTAATGACGTCATGGTTCATGAGATCGAGCCCCATGCTGGGCTCTGGGCTGAGCACGGAGCCCACCCGGGATTCTCTTTCTCTCTCTTCCTGCCCTCCCCCCATCCCTCCCTCTCTGTCTCTCTCTCTCAACATAATAAACTTTAGAAAATAAAATAATAAAACATAAATAAGATAAAAAAGATTTATCTCGAATTATTAGCCCTTCCTATTAAAGCAAAAATTCTCATAACTATTACTTTTGAAGTCAATGCAAATTTTTAAAATATGGGGCACCTGGATGGCTCAGTCAGTTAAGCATCTGACACTTGATTTCAGCTCAGGTCGTGATCTCACAGTTGATGAGTTTGAGCCCTGTGTCAGGCTCTGCACTGACAGCACACAGCCTTGTTGGGATTCTCTCTCTCCCTCTCTGTGCCCCTCCCCTGCTCATGCTCTCTCTCTCTCTCTCTCTCTCTCCTCTCAAAATAAATAAATAAAATTAAACATTTTAATAAAAAATAAAATATGATACAGCAAAAATATAAAGAATTTTTATTATAATTTTTTATACCTGATCTGACTTAGAGAATCAAAACACAATGTATTAGGACAAAGTGTTTTAATGTTTGTTCATGTTAGTAGACCCAAAACTGATCACTTTATCAGAGCCAGTAACCATCAAGTACAATATAAAAATGCAAAAGATCCATTTATGATAGCAACAAAACTATAATATTTCTAGGAAAAAAATAGCCTAAAACGTGCGAGACCTGCACAAAGAAAATGTACAGAGTGTGGACGTCACAAAACTTGCACAAATGAAGTTGTATCATGTTTCCAGATGAGACCTTCCAGTATTTATGAGGATGTCATATTTCCCTCAGTTTACTCGACAGGTGTAATATAATTCTAATAGAAATCACAAGTAGATGGTTGTTTCTAAAGCTATTTTGTCAAAGAACATGTATAAAAATATTAGAGAAAAAAATTAAAAATAAAATTAAGATAGCAGAGTAATAAGGATGCTTGCCCTATAAAATATAAAACACACATTTTAGCGATATTCATTAGAATAACATAAATGTCACGCACACACACACGAAGGCAGAGCACCAGAATAAAAACAAAGTTAAGAAGCAAGTCCGAGTACATAGAGCTACTTAAAATTGAACAGTGGGATTTCAAAGAAATTAGAAAAAGATGACATTTAATAAATGATGTGAAGAAAATAGGAAACCGTATGGGAATAATATTTAGGTCTCTGTTTTCCAACCTACATCAAAATACATCTTTGGTGAACTGAAATTTAAATGTAAAGTAAGCCAGAATTGCATTGAAAGAAAATGCAGATGACTTTAGTATGTAGAAGAAAGATCACTTTAAATGTAATACCAGATGAAAGAAAGAAAGAATATATTTCACTATATAAAAATATAGAACTCTGGGGCTCCTGGTAACTCAGTCGGTTAAGGGTCCAACACTTGATTTCAGCTCAGGTCAACTCAGTTCATGAACTCATTGTTTGTGCGTTCAAGCCCATCATCGGGCTCTGCATTGATGGTGTGGAGCCTGCTTGGGATTCTCTCTCTCTCTCTCTCTCTC